AGTCGATTCAACTATTGAACAAAATATAGCGGTAATAAAGTTTGAAAAAATAAAATAATTCATTGATGAGACAAAACACAACCAAATTAAAGGTCCCATATCTTGGTGACAGTGCGGGCTCTTTGGGATCGCCTCAAAGCACCGGAAGATTGCGATGAAATCACTGAAACTGAAGTTTTCATAAACTTTTTAATATTGAAAGAGAGAGAGAGAGAGAGAGAGAGAGAGAGAGACTTATGAGAGATAATTCATACCATTATTAGTGCTATCACTTAAGTCTTGAGCAGTGGTTATGGGAACAGATGTATCGATCAAATCAGAAGCCATCACTCGAAGAATCACTTGATGTACGATATCATCCAATTCAGACCTCCTCTTAATGGCCCTCTTGTTGGCGCCCTTCGCCTCCCCGACCCGTCTGATGAGGTCTGCGATGATAATCCTTAACAGACATCTTTGTCCCAATGATATATCACTCAAACGGACCAAATCCTTGTCCACGTCTACGGCCATTAGTGTATAGATGGAGTCAAAGCCGTGGTTCACGAGTGAGACAATTGTCTCGGGTTTTATGGATTTGCTTTCCGATAAGTATCTGAAGCAAAAGGTTGTGGTGATCGGCACTACCGGTGCCATCGTTTGGATAGTGTTTGATTCAGACATCACGTTTTTTGGGATCAATTAAGGGTATAAAACAAAGATCTTCACGAAAATGTTACTTTAAATGATTAAATGACTGATCATTTCAAATGACTCATTATTGTATAGTTTTGTATTACAGTTATCATACACTAAATCCGTGCAAAATAAGCCCTCCTTTCCCCTAATAAGTCATTATAATACAGAATTTTATTTATTTATTTTTCATACTTTAACTGTTAGTATAATTTTAATAAAGTTTAACTACAGTTATGATAATAACTAAACTTTTATAATCTCTCTCTCTCTCTCTCTCTCTCGAAATAAAACAAAAAACAATTTAATTTCCAAATAATATAATATATGAATTCAAACATTGATTATACATTTGTATAGCATTTCTGGAGTATAATAATTACAACAAATTAATTAAAACTCTAAATAATATCCGACTTATTATTAAATACACCTAAAAGTCTTCATTAAGTGATAAACAGATAATGAAAACCAATCGAAACGTCAATCAAATCCAACGATCATATCATATATAGTGTCCAACGGCTGGGAATGCTCGCGACATACGGTGTGGTCATCGGCGGTAACCTATCGGAGGTCTTCAGCGCCAAACAAACCCTTCGCGCGACGAAGAATGGAGTCCTTATTCGGGTCGTACGGGTGATCCTTGGATGGGATCTCCAGAATGGAGGGCACGGGCGCCGTATGGCTGTCGATGGCGTGTCGGATCAGTTCGGCCACATTCTGGTTGATGAGAATGATGTCGATGTCGTCCCTCTTGAGGAACGCCCGGAAGGTGTCCTCGATCTCAGCGGTTGTCGTATTCTTGTCGACAACCAAGAAGTTGGTTTGCGGCGACTTCTGGCGGTTCATCTCTCCGATGCCGCCCAATAGGAAGCCGACGCACGTGTCCTACCGGTGCCCAAGAGGTCAGTCATTAGCAAATAGTGGTAAATGTGTGACAATTGTGGTCATAGTGAGAGTTGACGCCCCCTTTTGCCATACCGTTCCCCTCACTCAATACGTACCTCATCGCCGATCACTGATATGAGTTTGCCTTTAATAGCCGAGTGTAACGCCATTCCCGCGCGCGTGAGCTACCGGTGCTCTCGTGTACAGCAAACACGTGTTGATTAGAGTGTGGTTTGAATAGCAATTAAATGTAATACAGATTTCAATGTCTTTCAGTTTCTCACTGTTTATTCAATCGATACGTAAGGCTAAGCCATAAATGATGTCTTCGTGTCATTTAAAGTTTCTGAAAGACTAGCCATTTATGAGATTCATTGCTTTCAACCAGAAGTTATGACATTGTCGCTGATAATGGGATCAATTGATTGGTGATAATTATGACAAAGACGAATGATATGGGATGTATTGACAAAAGTCAGCATTGAAAGGCCAGTCACACGTACTCTGTGTTTCGTGCATTGCAGTGCATGTGTCACGTGATTCACACAAACCACATCACCACAGCCTCGCGAGTGCCCAACCATTGCTCGACATCTTCGGACATAACCAGCGACTAGTCGTGGATCAGCGGCACACACAAGACACACGCCATGCCATACCTGCGCTCGTGGGAGGAGTTCGCGAAGGCGGCGGAACTGCTATACCTGGACGAGCCCTCCAAGTGTCGGTTTACCATGAAGTACAGACACAGTGATGGCAAACTGGTCCTCAAGTGCACGGACAACACCGTGTGTGTGATGTACGCCACGCAACACTCCCAGGACATCAAGAAAGTCGAGAAACTCACCACTCATTTGA